AATCCAAGTATTGTAGCTGTAGTCTCCAACCGATAGCCCGCCCCATGAACATAATTGTATAATCAATGAGTGTTTTAGTTTTCATTGTACAGTTGACCCTTTAACAACATGGATTTGAACTGTATAGGTCTGCTTATTCAAGAAATTTTTTCAATAAACATATTGGAAAAAATTTGGGTGATTTTCTTACTACCATTGAAGCAATTGAAAATTTGGGTGATTTTCTTACTACCATTGAAGCATTTGTATCAATTACAGGGCTACCATAAAGCAATCATACTGTTGACCCTTAGTTATCAATGCATACATTGTTATACTTGTAAAGAAATATGAATTTTTTTCACGTTATCTTTTTCATTTTCGAAGTCTAGTGTTAATAATACATATGACATCTACAGTGTTTTGTATCATATAAGATAATGTTGATATAGATACTGACAGATGATTCATCTTGTAAACGAACAACATAAATTTATGCTATCAATAAATATGGTAAAATACTATAGATGTATTTTTTCTCTTCCTTATGCTTTTCTTAACATTTTCTTTTTTCCTGTTTACTTTATGGTAAGAATATAGTATATAACACAAAATATGTATTAATAGACTTTATGTTATTGGTAAGGCTTCCAGGTAATAGTAGGCTATTAGTGGTTAAGTTTGGGGGAGTCAAAAGTTGTATGCAGGCATTTGAATGTATAGGGGTTGGTGACCCTTAACTCCCACGCTATTCAAGGGTCCATTGTATTTGCCTTTAGTGATTTTAATATTGCATTCACTCAGTGTTTAATAGTATATTGCTGACCCATTCATCACTGCGTAAAGAAAAGAGACTAAAAATCCACTTATTTTGTGCTATTTCACTGTTTCTTTTGGAGTTTATTTGGTTAATTTTCTCTCCAGTTCTTGTTTTTTAATTGAAAAATAAATGGGTATAAAAAAAGACATCTTTCACCACACATGATTTTTCCACCACCATAATTAATTCTCATGCTCTCTTCCTTGGCCATAAATTATTCTTCTTGTATCTCATTTTTCAACTATTCCTACTCTGATTGTTCTTTGA